AACAACAACAACATTTCTTTCTTGTCTATTCCTGCCTTCTGAGCTTTATCCCTGGGCAAATGCTACCCTTTTGATCTCTTAGGGTTGATTGTTCTAAGAAGTGCTACCTCCCTGAGTTATTATTTACTTTGGATGCCTGTCTATAGTTTAGCTTAAAGTTGAGCATTGGGAGTGAGTTCAGAAGGAAAGCAGGTTTTTAAAGTGCATTCTCAAGCACAGTAATCATGCACTTAACTTTTAAGAATATCTGTGGTAGTTCCACTCTGTCCTATAGGGTTGCTATGAGTTGGAAGCAACTTAACAGCAGTGGGTTTTGTGGGTTTTGGTGGTTAAGCTATCTTACTTAGAAGTTCAAACACACAATTCTCTTGTTTTATACATGTGACTATATATTCATATATGTAAACATGTATATAAATGTCTTTATTAACATATATGAGTATGTGTGTTTATACTTCTCAATCTCAAGCTTTAAACTCTGTACTTGTTGGCTCAAATCTAACACGGAAGGAAATCCTACACATAAATTGAGCAACAAAACAAAGCTGCTAAAGCTAAGTCCCAAAGGTTGAGGCAAACAAGAAGCACACAGAAGTGTGGGAGAAGAAATTCAAAGAAAGAGGAAAGCAGGCAAATGGAGAGAAAGAAAATGTCCTAGACTGGGAGGCAAGTGGGTACCTCTTATGATAAAGTCAGATTGTTTTGGCTTAAACAAAGAATTAAACAAGAGGCCTATAGGCTTTATGTGAACACACACAAACTTTTCTGTCAACAAAATACTGATTGCTTAGGCTTCATGTACAAGCCAACATTTGTGGGTAAACAACTGATTTCAGGACAGCACTAGGAAATATCAGGTATAAATATCCTTGGAGAAAAAAAGTAACATAAGAATGCCTAAGAGAACATATTCAACTTTATCTCAATGTCTTATTACAGTTAATTCTGTTTCTCTTTCTTTATAGCATTGTTTTACACATTTTAAAAATTATTTTTTCTCTTTGCCTATCAGAGATATTCATATTTATGGTACAATTGTTTGTGCCAGTCATGAGGCTAAATGTTACACATACTAAGATGTGCAAGTGTTATCATCTTTTTGTTCAATTTTCCAGGTGATAAAATGCAAAGCAGCTGTCTTATGGGAGCAAAATAAACCCTTTTCCATTGAGGAGGTGGAGGTTGCACCCCCCAAGGCCAATGAAGTTCGTATTAAGGTGAAACATTTTCTTTTCCATTTCTATTAAATTTTAGGATTAAAAATTTCAGAGAATAATAAACAATGGAAATAACCAAAAATCCATTATGAGTTACTTTGTATACAAATAGTAATTCAGAAAATGAACTTACATTGGTTGTCAAGGGAAGATACAAATGGCATATATTGTTAAATTTAAGAACTGATGAAAGAGTGCCTACTATATAATCCCAGTAAAAAAAAAAAAAAAAGACCTCTGGTAGCGTAGTGCCTAAGGCACTTGACTGCTAACAAGAAGGTTGGCGGTTCAAACCCACCAGCCACTCCTCTGAAGGAAGGTTGGGCAATCTACTTCCAGAGTGATACTGCCTCGGAAACCTAAGGAGGGGTCGCTGTGAGTTGGGTCCAACTGGATGGCACATAACAACAACAACAACAAAAAGAACATTTGTGCTTATACAGGAAAAAAAAAAAGAAGTGAAAAATATATATATCAAATTTTCAAAATCAATTAGCATTAGATAGTAGAATTTAAGTGACTATGTTCTTGGTTCTAATCTTCATTATCTAACACATATTTTTAGAACAATTATTTCACAGATTATGCCAGATCAATTAAGGCAAGAAAAGAAAGTAGAGGAGGGCTGTAGACTGGGTGATCGCAGAGATAAACTGAGTATTTTGTATCTGGGAAGAGTACGGATTATAAAACTCTTTAAAAGCTAAGCTTCAGAGAACTCTGAATGTTAAGTCCAACTGAAGGTCGTAATCTTTCACGAATGTAATCATTCTCTCTTTACATCGTAGATGGTGGCCACAGGAATTTGTCGCTCAGATGATCATGTGGTTAGTGGACAACTAACCATGCCTCTTCCTGTGATACTAGGCCATGAAGCAGCCGGCATTGTGGAGAGCATTGGAGAAAGGGTGACAACAGTAAAACCAGGTACAGAATTGACACTCAGAGACTGTGTCTCATTCAGTCCCACAAGAACATCCAGGTTGGATGAGGAAACTAAGGCAATGAGAGATGGAAGACCTTGCGTGAGGTCACAGCAGCAGCAAATAACTAAGACAGGGCGTGGACAGGGACCTCATTCTTTCCTCTCTCCTTGCCAGATTTCCTTCATGTATTCAGGCATGTCTATCTTCAGGCACCAGTGTTAGGTCCTGGGGATACATGAGGATCTGAAGAGACACAGTGACTACAATCATGGAGGCCATAATCTTATAATTTCCATTTTAGTATTCCTGAGCACACTACCTTATGTCAGGGCCCATAACAGAACTACAAATGAGACTAGGAATAAATAAATAAATAAATAAGTCTGTGGCCTAAGTCTCTGGATCAGCGTATGGAAACTGTTCTTTTCTGGGTTTACAGGGCGGGGCTGGAAGGCAGGGCTGAACTAACATGGTCTCTTCCTAAGTGGGAAGTGGAGCCCATTCCATTTCCTCTTCCGATATGGTCTGCCTTCTTGAACACGGAACAAAGGAAACAGACTATATAAAAGGAAATGAATAAAATCTAGGAAAGAAAATAGACCATATGAAACGAAATGATTTAAAAAATGTAGCAAAATGGAGTCCCTGGGAGGAACAAAGAGTTAACGTGCTTGACCGCTAGACAAAAGGTTGGAAGTTCAAGTCTACCCAGAGATGCCTTGGAAGAAAGGCTTGAAAACTCTACACGGATTCACCGGGAGTCAGAATCAACTCTATAGCACTGTTTCTTTCTTTCTGGCTTTTTTTTTTTTGGTTAACAAAAGGCATCCTGTAATAAACTGTTTCTGTTTTATTACCTTTAACCATAGTTATTACCTTTAATCATATATATTTTAACCATAGCTAA